CTAGATTATCGGTGAGCTCATTCTGGGCACACCTAAGGTTCGACGTTTGATTTTAGGCAAGATTTCAAGGTAAAAATTTAAAACTAATATAGAATAAGGAGATTAGCATACAGCCAAAAAAATAACATAGAAATTTCTTTTCAAACAATTCCTTTTATACCCTAAAAAATCTGGAAGATTTCTTTGAAAAATGAGGGTTTTCCTTAAAAACTAAACATGGCTAAAATATATGGATTAGTTTGTGTTGAGCTGCCATCTACTATAAATAAAGAAGGTTCAGAGTAACCTATAGTAACCTATAAATCCTTTTTCATTCAATTTTTCTGTGCGTACAGAAGGAAATTTTAAGGTGTGTCCAAACCGGACACACTGTGCCGCAAAGGGTTAATTGTTGATTTTTATTTTTTTTTAGCGTACATCTTGATTGCGGTTAAGGGTTATGTTTACTTTTCGAACCGTCTTTCCTGTTGTAGCGTAATTACGTTTTTCCTATTGCATATTCATTTAAAAAATAAGGCAATAAAAATGGGACTACAGTTTTCATCTCCTTCACCGTCGAATATAAATTAATCTCTGTAACACAGATTTACAAAATTTCACTTTTTTTTAATCTTTCAAATAGATGAAATAAGCTGCTTTCTTCTAAATATCACCTCCTGATCATGAATATGAACTTTCAAAGAATTTTCAAAGATTTACTCTTGTTTGAAAGTTTGACCAAAGTTTACGTAACACTTTTTAACACCAATAAGTTAATTTAAATAGAATCTTTCCTTGTATTTCGAGGATTCCACATAAGTAATATAAAGGAATTAAATACGTTCTGTGTGAATAAATTCCACCTCATGAGCAGGAGTATGCAATTTGTTTTGTAAGACTGCTTCTTATTTAGATGTTAAAGCAAAATTCGTGCTACACCGTGTTAATTTACCATTCATAAGCAATGGTTCGTTCGTACTTTATGGATTCGGCATTACTGAAATAAATTTTTCTCACTAAATTTCATCTCCTGAACATGATAATTAACTTTTCAAATATTTTCTTTTATATTAGAACTTAAACCAAAAGTCATGTTACATTTTTATACCTTAAGCAATGTTTTACTTGTATTTGGAGGATTCGACCAAAGTGCTTTCATATCTCGAGGACTGGTGGTTTTAGCTCCGCTTTATTTTATTTTAATTTTTAATTTCACTTTAAATCAGTAAAGAGAATAGGCCTGAATGTAGCAAAGGGAATATTTTTCGTCCTTTACGCTCTAATTGGCCATGGTTCAGTGCCGACTATGCGCGTTCTGGGAAGCTGCGCACCCCCACACAGCAGGCATTGAAGAGGCGCTATTTATACCTCCTATTAAAGTTCTTTTTTTTAATCTTATCAAAGCATTACTTATCAAAGGTTTTTTTTTCAAAGGATTTACTTATCAAAGGATTTGTGCATATTTCCTTTAATGCTGCCGTGTTATTATCACACTTTCAGACACTCATCAGTACTTCCTACACAGCCAAACTGTGATAGATAAACACCCTCTCCTCTTTTGTTACACAGAAACGAGAACCAGTAGAACATTTTAAATATAATGTCAGTGATCACAGGCCACGAATTTTTGAGACTGGGTGCTTATGCAATAAAATATACACAGAACAGTGTTGTAAAATGAAGAATCTGTACGTGGCCGCCCAACAGGATAGTGGTTAGTGACTCTTACTACCGAATCGAAGGGTCCGAGTTCGAGCCCCAGAGAATTTGCGGCATGGCTCCATTTGCGGCATGGGTGCACTCTAAATATATAGTGAGCCGGACGTTCCTTCGTTTGGTATGGTATTAGGGAAAGAGGGGTGGAAGACCTTTTGAACACCCCGGGTACTGTCCTTTAAAATTAGAGTGGAACTGGGCAAAATCATGCTGTCACCCAGTGTATGGCGCCCAAAGCTTTTGCCAAAGACGCAAGTCGTAGCCGAGTGGTAAGATGCAAGACGGTATCTCATAGTCCTTGCCACAATAAACTTCGCAGTTTTACTTATTTATTTATTTATTTATTTTTGATTAGGTTATACAAGTGTGATTAGTCACAACAACAATAGCAACAACATTTGTATATGAGTGTACCTTCAAGAGTTTTTTTTTTAAGTTCTATTTTAGTAGATAGTAGATTTAGCAGATTTTAGCAGTCAAGTAGATATTTAAATTTAATGTTGCAACGATTTTTTGTCGATATTTTGCGCATTTCTTTGCTTAACAAACAATTTATAAATCTCAAAGTTTTACCGTTTGCTTCATCGGATAAAGCGATAAAAATCTTTCAAACGAAGTTTGTACTGAATTTTCAATATAATTTTTAGATTTTCGGCGAATTTTCGACCATTTCAAGTCAATTATTTTAAAATTCCAATATTGGAAAATGTATCTATTATAGGATTTTACAATTTTTAATGATTTCTCCCTCTTTTGAAACGAGAATAATAAAAAATTATTTGTTAATCGATTTTCTATAATTTTTTTATACGCTGCAATATGATTGCCAGCAGAAGGAAAAATTCCAATCTGGTCCTGCGAATTTATGAATATTAACTGATTCTTGTTACTTTAACTTCTCCAACAATCATTCGTCTTGTTACTTTTACTCAAAAACATTCATAATTTTTATTTAAGATCAGGTTTTCAAATTTTTAGCTTCTTAATAAATAATTAATTCTTTTGAGCAAGGTCACAGCTTTTCAATGCGTCAAAAATATTACAATTTATCAGAAGACGGCAAAATTTGATAACATTTTATGTTATGTGGACGAATTTTCATAGTACCATATTGATTGAATTTATTTTGAGATTATTTATATACTTATATGAAAAGATATAACAGAAATAAATAATTTATATATATATAACAGATAATAAATAATAATTACAAAATAATCCAGTAATAATTATATTTAATACAAAAAAATATAAAATTATGATTTAATTTTTTTGTGCATATTAATGAAATAATTTACGTTTACTTCTATATTAAATATGCTAAAATTAGTTTGAGTAATTTAATATGTGTATCGATATTTGTGGAGAATTCTTTGAGAATATGTAATGTAAAAAGAGTAGATTTTATGCAGATTTATTCTATAAAACATACACTCTTAGACAAAAAAAAAAAAAAAAAGACAAAAAAAAAAAAAAAAAAAAAAAAAAGAAAGAAAAAGAAAAAAAAGACGCACCAAGAAAGAAGTTATCCAAATGGGACGAAAATCGGTAGAAGTGATGTACATGTACAGAAAAACAAATAATTACAGTTTGAGAAAAACTGGATGATTTATTGAAGTGATAGAGCTTCACAAAGTGAAAAATTCAGTAACGCGTTCGCCGACATCTGACTCTTATGCAAGCAGTTATTCGGCTTCGCATCAATTGATAGATATTGCGGATGTCCTCCTGAGGAATATCGTGCCTAATTCTGTCCAACTGGCGAGTTAGATCGTCAACATCTCGAGCTGGTTGGCCAAGCGACCTTGCTGGCCAAGGTAATGTTCGGCAAGCACTAAGGGAAGCAGTAGAAACATGTGCAGTGTGGGGGTGGGCATTATCTTGCTGAAATGTAAGCCCAGGGGGGCGTGACATGAAGAGCAAGACAACGGGCCTTAGAATTTCGTCGACGTACCACTGTGCTGTAAGGTTGAGACGGATGACAACTAACGTTTTCCCATAACTAACGTTAACTAACGTTAAGGAGTCCTTAACTAACGTTAAGGAGTCCTACTATGAAATGGAAATGGCCCCCCAGACCATCACTTCCTGGTTGTCGGCCTGTCTGGCGGAAAGACAGTCAGGTTGGTAATTATTACACCGCTGTCCGGGGCCGTCTCCAGACTCGTCGTTCGCTGGACATCGGGGCTCAGTTCCAAAGCGGGACTCATTACTGAAGATTATTCTACTCCAGTCAAGTGACACATTCCAGTGCGAATGAGCCCGACAAACCACTGCAAACGGGCTTGATGTTGTACAGAAGGTGAATGGTCAAGTCGGCGCAAGGGGCGCCGTGACCTCAGCTGCCTTTCTGTGAGCCGTCTATGAATGGTCCTTATTATCATTGAAGCACTAGTTGCACGTACAATCGATGATAATGGTGCATCTGGGGCTGTGAGTGCCGCTCTGACGATTGCTCGGTCTTCAGGTTCTCTCGTTTCTCCAGGCCTACCGCTTACTTTAATATCGTCTAAGGCATCGCTCCTGCTCAAATGTCGAGCTATTCGCGGATAAGACCAACCGGCTTCTTTGAGCCCAACCACACGACCTCTCTCAAATTCTGACATCTGCGCATATCGTTCGCGCACGTGTATGCGAACCATAGTTACTGTCTACCAGACTACACGGAATGAAATTCGTGAAGAATCTATGACCTGGAATCGTAATTTCTCCTCTTAAATATCCTGCCAGTTACGCAGATCAGATGCGCTATAGCGACAAGGCTTCATTCATTGGCAGCCAAAATGTAAAATTTTGCATTTTCCGTCGAAACCTGTATGCATATCAATTTGTATCCAATTTGCTTAATATCTTCTCGGTGCGCGTTTTTTTTTTTTTTTTTTTTTTTTTTTTTTTTTTTTGTCTAAGAGTGTATTTCAGATAGTAATAATTTGAGAAAAGGATATATTGACAGTGGGGTCAAATACACACCACGTACATCCTCGTGCATGAGAAAGTAGTGCTTGTCCTTCCAGGCTAGTAAACAAGCAAATGAAATAACAGTTGATTTTGGGGGAGAGCAGTGTAATATGGTACATTTTATTTATCAAAGACACATAAAAAACTAAATTTGCTTTAATTTAATTAATAGCTTTTTAGAAGTAATATAGGACGTTGAGCAAAAAAGCATTTGGTTTTGGTTAAGTTGCAGGATTAAGACCTTTAAAAACAATTTGCGCTAACTAGCTTTGCTTAACTAAAATTTGTTACTCTTTTTCTGATGATTAGTTGAAATTAATGATACTGATTTGGATTTTACTTTACAGGAGATTTCTCTGAATCGGGATTCTGATTCTTTGAGTTATGAAGTGATGAATCAGGTCAAGAGAGATTCAAATTAGGCAATGATGAAGTGATAAAGCAGCTGAAGGGAGACAATTTAGTGTGTGAAGAATTAGTTATGCTATCAAGAAAGATCTATTAAATTTGAAGGAATGTTAAACTGTGTATTAGTCCTTTTCTCATATCTTAATGTGCTGAATTTTAGCTCTGTGTCTCTCTCACCTTTAAAATCTCGTACCGTATTTGACATTGTAATTTGTATAACCTCTATTTTTCAGGGTTGACTGATATATTCAATGTATACCAAGAGGAAATGTCATATTGGTACCCAGAAATAATCATTAAAACTGAAACTGAATCCTCAGTGAGGATTTTGTAATAAAATTAATGAAATCAACTTAAAGAACGAATTATTATGAAAATATACGTAAACTTGTAAGGCGGAAAAATAAGGGCAAATAAGTTTGAATACCAAGAAAGCTATTTTTAGAAGAAATATAAAGCTCAGAAAGCGTTCGTGTTATAAAAGGAAATATTAAAATAATATATTTTGAGATATATACACTAAAATGACTGAAGAATATCACATCACGTTTCATTGCGAACAATTCTTAATCCTACGGATGCATATACTAAATCAAGTTAAATATACGTAGGCGAAAACAAACACCCGAACTCTGAAGTACGAAATCTATCCTGAAAAAAGGAAAATAATATTAGTTTTAATAGCAATGTTACCAAAATTAACTACTAAAATGAAATTTAGTGAATATCATTGAGTTTGATATCGAGTTCAGCTTCACTTAGAACAGGAGTACTTTATATCAAACAGTAATAAAAAACAGAAGCACCAATAAATTAATATTCAAAGCGCTATGAAAGGAAAGAACAGAATTTTGAAAACAATATTAAAATTAAAATGAAATCATGAGAAATTCTGATATTTAAGATTTCTTCAAGATTCATACAGTACTGACTGCTAAACCGAAGTTAAGAAAAAGGGGCAGATACTTCAGCAGAAAAGCCGCCTAGACGAGAAAGTAGTTAGTGACTCTGACTACCGTACCGGAGAGGGCGGGTTCGAATCTCGGAGAAGGTATGGGTGTAAATTGTCTAATAAGCAACGGTAGTCCACCTATTAGATGCTTCTATAATAAAGCGACCACCCTTTCCGGTCTTGTAGCGGTCGACACATATGATGGCTAGTGCCCGCCATTGGAAGAAAAAAAACTTCAAAACGAAACGTGCTAAAAGCAGGTAAAAAGCGTGCCATTAATGAAATAAGAATGAATATTAAATTAGAAATGCATCCATGGAAGAAAATTATGTCTAGAACCCATATAAGATACCAAAAATGTTCAAATACTCAGATTCGCTTAGAACAGGAGTGTGCGAAAGTCAGCCTGTGGGCCGCGTGGGCCATTTTAAGGGTTTAATGCGGCCCGTTATGAAATTCTACGCAACGATTTTTCATCGTTTTCTTATACGATTTTGTACTCAAACTGACGAAATTACCAGTAAAGGTGCACATCTATTATTGCAATATATATATTCATAATGATCCAGCGGTCGACCTTAGCTGAGAGTAATACAGTGTAACAGAAAACATGAGCATCCACCAAAGAATATAGTTCTATAATTTCTAGCAGCTTTCCTTCAGAAGTTAATCAAGTAAATATGCATATTATTGACATAAAAACATTGAGCAGAAAAAGGTAGTTTAGGAAAAGAACATTTCACTTCTAGTGTTTATTGCATATACGTGTCAATCAATTGATGACCAATAGGAATAGATCACATTTGTGACGTATTTGGAGAACTGAAAATTGCAAGTAATCAGTCTTAACCAATCATATTCCTCCTTTCTTTAAGAAAAGCAATGCAATATCAGTTACCTTTGACCTGGAGAATGGAAAGCAGGCAGGGCCGTTGAGATCTCGCCTTCAATGTCTGGGGCTTATTTAAAATACAAAGTGTGACATTAAATGTATAAAGTCCTATTTAAATTAAAAGTTCTACTAGAGAGTGGTGTTCCCGCTTTAATCACATCCTGGTAAATAATAGGGACACTGCAAAAGATTCTCTCACGAGCACCCTCGCACCTTGTGATGGCCTTGCCCACATAATGATACTACGAAAGAGCTTTTTAGTCCATCGTTAAAAGGATTTGCCCATCCCTGGTCTCGAATAAGCTTCTAAAATTAGTGGTTGTGTCTCATAATGATCTCAAAAGGGCCTTTTAAAATCACATTAAAACTTGATTATTTTATTAGAAGGATGCAGAACAAACAAAAGGACGTATTATGGCGCTAGGTATTACATACTTCATTATGCTGCGTGGCTTTTTACTGTTTTAGTACTGATTTCCACTCAGTATTTTAGTAATTTTTTTAATATCTTATAAAAATATATTTCTTTTTTCCCCACTGTTAGAAGAATGCAGTAAAAAAGACTTATCTCAGGGTTTCTCAACCCGGTTGAATCCTCCAAAGAGGAATTGCATGGTATCAAGGCGAGGGAATACAGTCAACCTGATTCCATCTGCTTCTTGCTGCATCGTTAAACAATAATCTGTATCGAAATAAATGCATACACATTTTTCGAATATTTGAAACGGAAGGGGAAATGATCCTCTAGTAATGGTGTAAGGGGTGTATGGAGAAAAACAGGTTGAGAATCATTGACTTAAGCATTCAAGATGCAGCGGAATCTTTATTTCATCAGATCGTTTGCGTGCGACGTTTGCATCAAATATTTTTCTCGAGTGGCAGTACTTTCTATTTTCCCAGGAGAATTCATTAGCGAATGGAGAACTATGAATTTCTTAAAGAAGTTTGCTTCGAGATGTTTAAAAATGGCTTTAGTAAACAAATATGAAGTAGTTAAGTGAAGTATATATTCTTATGTCGCCCAACCGGGATAGTGACTAGTGACTGTCGCATCCAAGGGCGCGGGTTCGAATACCGAAGAAAGCATGGATGTTTATAAATGTGTAGTGTCTTTGTGGCATGGGGACACTCAAAATATGCGGGCAGCCAAGAGTCTTATCAAGAGGTTGGTGATAATGAAAGAGGGGCGCAAGACCCTCAGATCTGTCACCACGGGTTGCTCTCCCTTAAAATTAGGAGAGAAACTGAGCTTACTGTCATTTATATGACGGTCTTACTGATATAGGCGGTCTTACTGTCATCTATATGATGCCCAAGGCCTTGCCAATGGCACGCGAAGTCTTGCCTTCCTGCAACGATCAGTTATGCATTTCTTAGGCTTGCTCTGATCGAGATAAGTCACAAAAACAACGACAATATATTCTTACATGTGTAAATTACTATTCAGTTTAGCATGAAATTTAAATCAAAGTACTCCTTCTTTATTATATTGTTTTATAACATCTTTGTCTAATATGTGTTAAACCGAACCCGTTTAATTCTCATTCAGAGAGCTTTGTTTCTAAGAGCTCGTTCTTAAATGTAAATTACATTATTACCATATAAAAAAAACTTTGCTTTACTTGTAAAACGATTATTGCTGGCTGTATTTTTTCGAAATTAGCCTTGTAAAGACCTTCCAAATACAAAACACTTACCCATGTGAGGAGGATACTGATGCATCAAACCTGCATATGCCTGTTCTTTAGGCCAATGTGAAATCCACGGGGATGGCTGTTGGTACATGGACATCATTTGAGGATGGATCGGTGCTACTTGTGGAAGTATGTGTCCGGGAGGATGATGATGAGAGAGATACGGAGGCAACAATGGTGGAGCGCGCATGAAGGGATGCTGAGGCACACTCGGATGATGCCAGGGCATTGGTAGTAGCATAGGGCGATGATGCTGCGCGCTGACGGCAGGTTGCTTAGTGCTCTCTTGTTCTTTTTGTTTGGATAAATGATGATGAGCTCCTCCGATTAGGACACCGACGATACCCATTTTTAATAACTCTTCTAGGGCCTTCTGAGTCATCAATGGAAGTGCTGTCGCAGGAGACAGCAGGAGAATACTGAAGCATAGGAATGGTAAAATGGAATGAAACTTCGAACTCCACATGGCACCTAAAGAATAAATTACCTCATTAAATTAATTTTGGTTTTTGATATGTATTCTTAAAATTACTAAATGGCTCAGAAAGGAATTACGATTTAAATTGTAAGCAGTAGTTAATAACAGCTAAATAACGTACTGTAAAAAATGTTTACGTTTGATCCCACAATGCCAAAAATACTAAGCCTCTTTCCTTCGGTTTAAATTTAAGAAGATTTGATTTGGTTTGTTGTGATAATAAACACTCTTATTCGTTATCAGCTATGATTTATTTCAGAATTAGGGAAATAGATCAAGAAGGGAAAAAAAATGTTTTTAAAATACTTTATTCGTTTTGTACGATTAACCGAACAGCGCAGATTCCTTGCATCAAAGCCGATCATATTCAAAATGTGCATTTTAGTTACGCATGACATATTTATTTCACTGACCTTGAATTTCTTCCCCAATGCTGTCGAGTAATCAAAAGGGAAATCAACATTAATCCGAATATTATCAGATTTCGATAAAACAAAATTGCGGTAATATAGTCCATCTGAGTTGTTCTCAAGATTTTGAAGAATATTAAAAATTACTAAATTGATCGATTTAGATTTAGAGATAAATCATAATTTAAACTTTTAATCATTCAAATGACCACTTCAGACATTTCCCTAATATAAAACTCTAGTTTCTGTATTCCATTTATTCTAATTAATGTTTACTAATAAGAAAAATTGTAATGCAAAAGTATTAATAGAATAAATATTGTAAGCAATAGTAAATAAACATAAATTAGAGTAATTATCAACCAGAAATTAGATTGATCATAAATTTATCAAAGTGATCAATAAGTAGCTACTTCAAATTTATCAAATTCTGTAACAGATTATCTAACAAAATGCAAATAACTAAATCTAAATTTCCAAAATATGCACGATAAGTTTTTTTAATAAAAGTTATGAAATTTATAAGCTATTGAACCTAAACCACTTTATATATATATATATATATATATATATATATATATATATATATATATATATATATATCTATATATATATATATATATATAGATAGATAAACCATTATTTAAAAATATTTATCATATTGCTTAATCATCTGAAAATTATTATAATTATCATCTGAAAATTTTAATTATGATATTTTTTCTAAATTTCGATAAATTAAATTTCGGGCTAGCAATTATCTACCAATATCTATAACTACGATTAGAAAATAATACACTAGAATATTTCTATAGTTATGATTACAATACCCGAGAACAATTGAATTAAATCAATACAAAATTTTAAAAATAAATAAACATTAATTAGAATAAATGTCAAACAGAAATTAGATTGATCATGAATTCATCAAAGGGATCGATAAGTAGCTATTTCAAATTTATCATATTATGTAACACATCAGCTTACGAAATATAAATAACTAAATCTAAATTTGCAAAATAATGGACGATAACGTACTTTTTTTAATAAAAATTTATGAAATCTATAAGGTATTGAACCCAAAATACTACTTTATACATATATACAAACATTGTTTAAAAATATTTACTTATCATCTGAAAATTTTAATTATCATTCTTGCTTATAAATTTCGATAAATTAAATTTCGGGCTAGGAATTATCTATCAAATTCTATAACTACGATTAGAAAATAATACACTAGAATATTTGTATAATTACGATTAGATAATAATATGCGAGAATAATTGAATAAAATCAATACAAAGTATTAAAATATTTCCAAGAGGGAATTCATGTTACGAAATAATTTACACATTAATTGTTTAATCTAAGATAATATTCAAAATGGCATAAAATGTTTCATGGTTGTTCACTGTGAGTTGCATAAAACGTGCAGATAACTTTTTCTGCGAGCCCCTAATGGGGAAAGAAGCTACTTGCAATTTGCTTTGTATACTGTATCATATAAGTTCAACCAGTTTCCCTAAGATAAATATTTTTAGAACCCTCTTGGATTTATATACAGAAGACTGCTTTGGTAATCATATTAGAAAGAATCAAAAGCTATTGCTGGACATCTTTGTTTACCGAATGCTTTAGCGAAATATTATTGTTTTCGCTAATACAGATTGCAGTGATTCCACACCAGATCAATTTAAATTGTTAGAATTATAGACTTCCAACGGCTGATGTTATCGTAGATTTCTTACGAATTTTAGTTGCTTTAATTTTCCCGTTAACGTATCTGGTGAAGATTCTTTTTGCTGCATATCTGTTTATCCATGTAGCAGCCTTCTTCTCTTATTTTAATCAAAGTGGTACTTCCTATCTTGGTGAAATAATACCTCTTTTAGTAAATTGTAGCCGTAATCTGCATCTATGTAATCACAATTTCTGATTTATAACATTCCACCAGCTTTGATCAGTAAATCGAATTCAGCCACTTCTGTTACAATATATCACTACAGCGGCTACTTTGAGCATGAAAACTCTGGAACGTTCAAGCGAATTAAATGCTGGAATACTTTCTTGGCCTACAATATTTGACCTGACCAAAAACATGAAGACAGGTTTATGAATCCCGAATCGAAGATATCCACTCATAAAATGGCATCTGGATAAAAACGTGCTTTCAATTCTTTCACAACATACCATTAAACTCCACACTGAGAATTAGATATCGCCTCAAATTCATCCATTAATTTGGTAGCCTACGAAGAATACAAGAGACTGAAAAATTCACATTTAATGGCTCAGAGGCTTTGAGATACATCTCCTAGTAGTAACAACAAGAATTTTTTAGTCAAAATTCAACGCAGGTGGTACAAAAAATGCATGAATATATTGATGAAATTCTTCCACCATTTACCCCGTTATCTGTTTGGAAAGAAGTGAGGTAAATTAAACCAAAAAATATTCGTTGAAGATAATCCTTACTGTTGGTTTGATGACTTAAGGCCTTGTGTTCTCCGGTACAAATCATCGGTCTCTTAAATAGCTTCGAGAGGAAAATACGATAAAAGCCTGAGGGTTTCTTAGGTCTGGGAAAACAGGCTTTCAGGATGATTGAACACGTGCTAGCAGAGCCTCTCCCCGGTAAGATCGTTGTTGCATACGTCCACCTTTAGTAATAGGAAGATTTAAATCGTAACAGTTTTTACGGAATATCGTGGTTTGCAGAGAAAGGGGAAGCGGAGACAAAAAAAGAATATAATTTCTCCTCATAGTTTTGTTGACGGAACCGGTCGCAATGGCATCTTAGTTCGTGAGAATTTTTTTCCCGTAAGAATAGATTAAGTTTATTGAGTACTTTAAAAATGAACTCAAATGATCTCTATTTCCTCAAAATTCGATTTCAGACATCTATGAAGTCATAAACTTTTTTTAATCGATATATTACATTCTTGAACTCGAGTTAATCATCAGTTGTTATTGCATCATTTAAGGTATCTAGTTTTAGAAAGTTGTGGAAGTTAATGGTTATTACCTTCAGAAACTCTTTACACATAATGATTAAATTTTAATGCATAATTTATAGCAGTCGAGTAACTGAAAAAAAAAAAAAAAAAAAAAAAAAAAAAGCACAATCAGTTCATTTCCTTTATTCACAAATTCTCATTGTGATCCTCTTTCCTGTCTCGTAAGGTAATATACGTCTAAGGAAAAACAAATACGTTACTATTATTACCTGTTATGTTGACACAGATCACCTAATATATATTATAACATGAAACTGGGCAATGAAAACTGGCTTGTGTTTCATCAGCATGTCTAACAGTAGAATCTAGGATGATTTTTTTTTTCTGATTTTGGTTGAATAAATGGTGGTGACCTCATATGAAAATTAATTTACTTTATGCAATTTTTAACGAATAACCTTAAAGATATACCACTAGTTAGATGCCACATGATTTTTTTTTTAATTTCCTTTCTTTCACTGTAAGATATTTTCCCCTCGCTGCTTACCTTTGAAGTGTAACTGGAAGCATATCCAGCCAGCAGTCAGGAGGTATAGAATCTGAGCTTTGACGAGGACATTGCTGATTTTTCCTGCTTCCTGCTCTTAAGTAAACTTAACGAATATACAAGTTGGCGCCCTAACTAAAAAAAATGAAGTAGGCGATAATTAGTTACTACTAGATTTTAGGTTCGCGTTTCCCCAGTCGACATTTCAGTCGAGGGGAATGTGAGGTATTTTTTCTCCCCTTACTGCGAGTTTCCGTTGTGTAACTGGAAACAGGTTCGTCTAGCAATCGAGAGGTCCAGATTTCCAAATTTGCCTAAGTCATTACATACTTTTCATGTTTCTTACTTCGACAAAACTAGTGACTTTAAGCTTTGTACTCGAGTTTAAATTTATCGATAAAATGTAGATTGGGAAAAAAATAACATTTTCTTTTTATCCTTGACTTTGAATTTAATTAAATTTCAAGGTATTTTATCCCTCCTTTCGGCATGGCTTTGTGGTGTAATTGGCAGCATACTCAAAGGATATTCCAGAGGTCCAGGGTTCAAGTCCCGGCGAGGGCACCGCACATTTTTTGCTCCTCCTGCCTCAAAATGTACAATGTCTCCTGCTCCTGGTAATGGCTCTACAAGTGCCGCCCGAACTAAAAGGTGATGGACGATAATTCGTTACCATTAGGATTTGGCGACTGGGTTCGTTTATCCCCAGTTGCCCTTTGAAAGGGAGGTTATCTAAGGTATTTTTTCCTCCTTTCCGCATCTCTTCGTAGTTTAATCAGAAGCCTACTCTGCGTGGATGCGAGAGGTTCAGGGTTCGAGACCCGTCAAGGGAATTGCATATTTTTCACGTCTCCTGTTTAAAAACGAAAAAAAAAAAAAAAAAAAAAAAAAAAAAGAGAAAATCTGAAAGCTTTCAGATTTTATATTAGGCCCGAAAGGGACCTTTTTTTTTTTTTTTTTTTTTAACGTTTTGTGGGTTACCTCTATTTATTATATACCATGTTCTTCGCAATTAAATGACATAAAATTTAATTGAACAATAGTATCACAAAATATTTAAAAAGAGCATTCTTTAGAATTTTGATGCACAGTCTCGCGCGCTGGAGATAAAAAAGTTTTTTTTTTTCCGTACAGTGTTTGTCATTGCTCGTTGAATTGAAGTCGCTGAGTTTGTTAATAAAAAATTCATTAAGGTTTTACAATAATATAATATAATAATTTGAAATAGATAATAAAAGAAATTCGAATTCACAATTCGGGCTTCCAAGTACACATATTCAGTTGGAGGGCTACGTTATTCAAAGTTTGATGGCTCTAGGTCCGTTATTTTTTCACAATGCGAGAAAAATTCATGCATTCATGCAGATTCTTCATTATTTAGTTTCCTTAAATATAATGGCGATAATATTTGGTGGCAACAGTTTGAAAAGTGAATCCACGCAAAATTCTGTTTTGAAATTAATAGCCCTTCTGTGCTAACGCCATTTGAACTAAGAAAAAACTAATGAATCTACAAATTAATTAATAAAGTCAATTTTGGTATTTCTGTAACAGTTACATAATTTTCAGAGAAAATTATTATACAGTAGAATTACTCTTATTGTAATCTGCTTATCCAGTTTCGACAGCTTCAACATAAAAAAGTTTTACAACTAGTTTAACAAAATTACAATGAAATTTGTAAGCATACGTACATTTCTTGCAATTCTGTACGATTACTTTACTGTACTAAAGGCATTTCTCCCACTTCCCTAGCGTGCCTTCGCGGTGTAACGGTAGCACGCTGGGTCGGTATTCCAGAGGTCCGTGGCTCGATTCCCGGCGAAGGCGGTTGCATATTTTTCATCTTTTCTGCTTCCAATTAACCTAATGACTCTACAACAGGATGTCCACAAAGTCTCTGAACAACTTTAACAGCTTGTTTATTTGGGAACGAAATAGCTTTTATCTTTAGTACTGGTCATATGTCCACTAGCAAGTGCATAGTCTTCGTGCCCCGTTTCCAATAATGGTTTCCCACTATCTTGTTGAAAAATTAACTCCTGCTGAGGGCCTCCAGCCGGTTGATGGTCAAATGTATTTGACCAATTTATCTATGTAACTCCGGCTGTTATTGCTTGTTCATGGAAGGAAAATGTTTCTAAAATCTTGTCTTGCTGCACAACACAACAAATATTAAATTCCGGGAACAACAAGAGGATTCTTGTATCCCGAAATCCTCACATTATATGCATACTAAAAAAAATCAAATTGTCGCGAAAAAATTTCATATACCTGTAATAAGACAATAAAAATTTGCAGTACTACTTCTTACGCGTGGCAACAATAGTGAGATAATAATGGGGTAACCCTATACTTTCGAGACAAATAAATTTCCTCTCACAATAACATATTCGCAAATAAGTAACTTAGCTTAATCCTATTCACATGGACTTCACAGAAAGCTTCTCTTTATTTGGGTACGATCACTGATTTGTATTATTGTAGACTTTAAAAATTATTGTACCAATTTATTTTAATTTCACATGAAACATCTCTTTATGTACTGAATTTCTTTTTTTAAACTACTAAAAGAATAAGAATGATTGTTTTGGAAAAAATGTGCCTTTTTAATTTAAATATTACTTGTCTCATTCGGAACAATAATTTAATCATATGCCGCATTTTGTTTGCTAATTTTATCCTCAGAAAATCGAAAGGGAAAAATTACGGGAATAATTTAATTACCGAAGGCCGCGGGTAGAATAAGAACAGTAAGAAAGGTTACAGTAAAAACATAACAGATGAAAAGTAGCTATGGATAAACTAAAAATAACTGTCAAATATTATTTCTTTAAAAGAAATCTACATTCAAATAAGAACACATAGTAATATTAACATTGCAGTATCTTATAAGATATCTGCTTTCTACTTCCCCGTAGCTTAAACTTTGCCCATTCTTATTGTTGTCTGTGCTATTCCTTACTTCTCAAATCATCCATAAATAATTAGAGAAGTTGAGTGTGGAGGTGACTTGGCGAAATCTTAGACCAGTGACGGCAAACCTATGGCACGCGTGCCACAGTTGGAACACAGAGCCTCATCAGCCGGCACGCGACTAAAATGTTACTTCATTAATCAATAATCACAATAAAATGATACTACACAATTAAAAAAAGTGTTGTAGTCTGTTCTTGAACGTTTCGCTTACTTACTTATCGCATAATGTCACTGCCATGGGGCCTAAGCCTAGATATAAGATTTTCATATCTCGCCAAATGATATACATATTTATTGACCCAATTTATGCCGTTGCAAATTGAAGTAGCTAATGTTTTCTAAAGGAATTCAAATTTATTGCCGTTCATTATAAGAAATGGAGAAAACGACTGCTAACAAAAGGAATCTCTAAAGACCTCACAGTAACTTCGATGCAGCAACATCGGTGAGGATTTCAAGATTTCGAGAAGGGGACATTTTAAGGGAATAAAATGAGTATTGATATTGTGTATATGTGTTACCGTGAAAGACCGAAATTGGAGAATGTCGACTTTCACCGGAGAATGTCAACGTTCACCAAATACGTCGGTGAAAGATCGAATATTGCACTACATTCTTGTACATTCGGACCCTCACCGGTGTATGTCGACAATCACAGATATGCTCTGGTGTGAGTCGAAAAGAGAGGTCACAAAGTGCCATAATAGTTTAAGTTGTTGCAATAAATAGGATTTGAATCACATAATTTATTAAGTTTTTTATTACTGTTATTTTATTTTCTCATTTAGAACGTACTGTATAATTAAGTTTTTAACTTCTATTATTTTCCTTTCTCATTTTAAATGTACTGTG